GGCCAAATGGCTCTTATCTGCCGTCACATTTTATGTTTCTATGGTGTTGTATTGTGTAATAAAGTCAGTTTTAGTCGTGTTTGTGGTGTAATGTAATGCATGTGTGGTTAGCGGCTGTAGAGAGTGTGTGTATAGGGGATGCAGTATGTGTGTGTGTGTGAGGGGTGCTGTTATATATATATATTTATATGTGTTTGGAAGTATTGTGTGTGTGTGTGTGTGAGTGGTGCAGTGTGTTGGGGGGGTTCTGTGTGTATGTGTGAGGGGTGCAGTGTGTGTGAGTGAAGGGTGCAGTGGGTGTGTGAAGGGTGCAGTGTGTGTGTGTATGTGAGGGGTGCAGTGTGTGTGTGTGATGGATGCTGTGAGGGGTAAAATGTGTGTGTGTGTGTGTGTGTGAGGGTGCTGTGTGTGTAAGAGTGCTGTGTGTGAGGGTGATGTGTGTGGGGGTGTTGTGTGTGAGGCATTACATCCCTCCTCCCTTCTTACCTTTAGCCTGGGAGGGGGGACCGTGTTGCCATCCCTGGTGGTGCTAGTGGTGAGTGAGCCTGTTGGACTAGAGTTAACTCACTCGAGATCGGGGGCATTGCCATGGCTGCAAAATATTGCTCTGCCAGGTCCTCTCTCCCTCCCCAGCCACATGTCTGTGGCCATCATGGAATACTGCAGTGCCGGCGCTTGGATAGCGCAGGCCCTGCATGGACCGGCAGGGTAGAGCCTGTGACCTCCCGTCGACCTCGGCCCAAGGCCATTGCGGCCCACCGGGCAGTTGCCCGGTGTGCCCGACGGCCAGTCCAGGACTGCTCCTCACGTTTTCAGCTCTTCAGACAGCTGAAGTGTTTTATTACATCTCCTAACATCGACACACCACAAAACAGGATGCTGGAGGGAGGAGGAAAAAAGGAGGGGACATTATCATGTCATTGTTGCCGACCAAAGGAGTTTTCCGTACTCTCTGCAGAGTCCTAATGACCGGAGTGATTTTGCACTTGCACTACACTTTTTGGGGACAGTTTCTTGGTGTCCCCAAAAGCAAGACACCAGGGAACAAATTTAGACAGGGCCAAAATATTGAGAATGTCTAGCCAAAATCGGGTATGCTGAAAGGCATGTTTAATCAGTGTGGAGTGGTCCTTGAAAATGAGCTACAAAAATTGATAAAAGGAATGTAATATATCAGCTTTGAAGGAAGGTTAAAAAAATTTAAATCTCTTTAGTTTGGAAAAACGGCGCCTCAGAGGGGATATGATAACATTATACAAATATATTCAGGGCCACTACAAACCATTGTGTGGAAATCTATTCATAAACAGGGCTATACATAGCCAAGAAAATAAAATGAATGCGTGAGAGCTAACACTGAAAACAATAAAATACTACCACTACATTGAACAGTAAATATAAGCCGCTGTGTATCTGTAATAAAGCATACAGTACAGATCATAGCGCAATATGTAACAGAATATACAGAATGGATAAGTCAACTGGTTGAACTCGTATGGTGTTGGGCCTATTAATAGCAGGCTCAGACTTTCAGGGCTCTTCAGTAAAGGAGACCCTCCAGATTACTGCTCTCAGGTTCTGCTTTCCTTCAAGAATGTTACTTCCAAACTTGGGTAAGTGCAAAACAATTTATTGGGTATAAAATGTAGGAGGTATAAAAAAAACAATAAAAAGTATACTTATTAACTAATCAGTATACAAACAACACAACGCTTTTCGACCGTTCAATCAGTCTTTTTCAAGTGCAGGATTTCGGCTTGTTCCAATCTTTGTGTTATATCCGGATTGTGTCCCTTTCCGCGTGTATTCAATCGTACATTCGGGTTCAGAGGGTCATATGACGTCTTTTCCATCGTTCGTATTATGATGCTCAGCAGAATGCCGTTACGTCAGACATCACAACGTGATGACGATTCTGAGTCCATGAGGATTTGGGTTCCATCTCAAGTATCGGAAAGAGATGAAACCTTGCCCTTAAGTACAAAGTCATTATAATTTAAGGGAAAATTAGTCCATAAATGCAGGTAAAAGAAGTAGCATAGTCGTTATATAAACAGGAATAATACAGACATACTCACTGACAGACACACACACATACTCACTGACAGACAGACACACACACACACACACACACACACTGACTGACAGACAGACACTTACACATACATACTGACAGACAGAGAGACACATACTCAGTGACAGACAGACACACACACACACACACTGACAGTGACAGACACACACACATACTCACTCAAGATGGTCCTTGTGGGCCGCATGCGGCCCGTGGACGCGAGTTTGACATGCTTGCCTTAGAATATAGGATAAGGTACTGAGAAAGGAGATACAATGGAATTTTTTTTTTTAAATCCCAATCAGGGGCTAATATTAAAAAGTATATATTATATTTAAAAGTATATACTAATCAAAAATATAAAAAAGTTATAAAAAAATTATATAGTAAAAATATACTAAATGCTGAAATTGATGGGGATATGTTAAGAAAAAAAAAAAATCTTAGTTCTTATATAAATTGGTTAATTTCAAATTCTACATTTAATCCCATAGGAGTAATAGTATCTAAATTAAAAATCCATTCCATTTCCTTTTTATTCAAATTAAAATGAATATCACCTCCTCTACAATATGTCGACACCTTTTCAATTGCACAAAATTGTAAACCTTTCGTGTCTTTACATATAAGGGAGATTTAATCTAAGGCAAAGAAAAGGTTTTTTTTTTTTTTTACACTAAGAACTATAGGGATATTGAATTCTCTGCCTGAAGAGGTGGTTTTGTCAGAGTCCATACAGATGTTTAAACAGAAATTGGATAAATACTTACAAAAACATAACATACAGGGATATAATTTCTAATTAGTGGGGTAATTGCTGCTATATATATATATATATAATTCTCCACGTATCCCGCACTTACTGCTCCCAGTCGTGTTGTTGCCTGAGTGCTGACTCCAACCTTGGAATATATAACATCTTGTTGAAGTGCACTCACAGGACTCAGCAATGTTTCAAATCGTGCTTTTTATTGTAACATCAAGTTTTCAGTAAAAAAAAGTGTTGACGTTTCAGTCACACCAGACTTTTTTCAAGACAATTTGGCAGTGTAAGGCATCATGTTTAAATATACAATACTACCACATGATTGGAGGGTGAAAAAGCGAAAAGGAGGTTCATTTATGTGACGTGTGTCTTGTGAAAAAAACATCGTAAGTGCAATAATTAGCAACCCCAACAGGAGTAAGTAATAATTGGGTGGTTAGTGCTAAACCATTATATTAACCCCTTAAGGACCAAACTTCTGGAATAAAAGGGAATTATGGCATGTCACACATGTCATGTGTACTTAAGGAGTTAATGGAACAGTTATTTACATTTCCTGGCCATATCCATGGCAGCACAACATTGGGTAGCTCCTTCCTATCCTCATTGGACAGGAATAATAATTAAGCCGTATAAGTACCACCTCCTACCCCTCCTTCCCCAGTCTTTTTTACCTGTCCTATCCTCTAGGACATGTCGGTCTTTAGGACCGTAAAATTTTCTTTTATGGCTTACCTGAGGATTAGTTCCTCCAGCCCCTGGGGAGTTCACCCTCTCTCCCCTGGGAAGTCTCCAGTATACGGCCCTGCGCAAAGGTGTCCCCCTGGAGAAAACCCCTTTAGTGACCGGGTTTTTTTTCCTTTCCACTATCTTGCAATGACCTCAGGGGTAGCAAGTAAAAGGACCAATTACATTACTTATTGAAATTATAAGTTTGGACGTTCCCACCAGAAATAAGGTATGAGGTTGATATGATTTAAACTTACCGCCAGGACCATTCAGCCGGTAAGTAAGCCTTACTTTCTCATCTTTCTGGCCGCCTGCAGAGTCCACAGGGTACCCTCACGGCATTCCGTGATCTCCAAACAGCGTTCGCGGGTTCCAGGGCATTTGTATGACATTCGTGAGCTTCCTCTGCGTTCGTGAGTTCCCTTGGCGCATGCGCGGCGTTCGGGGATTCCTGGGCGCATGCGCGGCATTCAGGGATTCCTGAGCGTTCGCGCGGTATCAGAGAAATAAGTGCGCGAACGCGAACTAATCACATTCGCGCACAAAGCCAATTTAAGCTGTTCACTTGAATTTTCGGTTCCTAGCGAATGCACAGTGACGTCAGACGCCTATTTAAAGTGCCAAACCGCAATTTTGTTGCAAGCTGATTATTCCCTGCAAGGAAGCATTCTGGTATTTTGGAACTTTAACAGTACTGTCAGTCATTGTCTCTCAGCAGCTGCAGGACCTTCAACCAACACCGGACATTATGCAACTTATAAAGCATGCAGTTGCCCAGGGTATAAAAGAGGTTGGAATGACCCACAAGCGACCTAGATATTCTGAGCCCTCAGATTTTTCTCCAGGAAATTCAGAAGATGAGTTTATGGATTCAGCTTCACTGAGAGACCTAGCTTTTTCCTCGGAGGAGGATGCTATGCCAGATCCAGACTTCCTGGTACCAGCGGAAGTGGATCATTTAATTACCCAGGGTTAGAGAAACCCTTACGTTAAAGGAACCCTCAGAGGAGGAACCCTCTACATCCAATCGCTACTTCTCTGATCTTAGGAGAAAAAGAGCGGCTTTCCCGGTGCATGACACTATCAGGGATCTTATTAAGGAGGAATGGTGCAGATCTGATAGGAGATCATCTGCCAAAGGGAATTTTCCAGGTTATACCCATTCGAGCCCAAAGATGCTGAAGCATGGGATTTTGCACCCAAGGTTGATGCTGCAGTTGTCAGGTTAGCCAAACATACTACCCTACCTGTGGACGATGCTGGTTCCTTCAGGGACCCGATGGATCGTAAAATGCAGTACTACCTTTCTAAGTCGTAAGTCTCCACCCTGCCGTTGCTCTCACGTCAGTCACAAGAGCCATGAAAGTATGGCTACAAGAACTGGAGGAGGACATCAGGAGTGGCAGAAGCCGTTCCTACATTGTGGATAGCCTAAGAGATATGCGTTCAGCAATTGAATTTTCGTCCAAAGTAGCAGTGGATCTAGTAAGAAATCTTGCTAGAAATATGTCCTTTTCGATTTCCTCCAGACGGGCACTTTGGCTCAGGTCTTGGGCAGCTGATGCTTCCTCCAAGAATAGTTTATGTTCTTTACCATTCCACGGAAATATGTTGTTTGGTAAGAACTTAGATGAATGTATAAAGAGAGCAGCTGAAGGTAATAAGGCCTTTCTATCTCAAGAAAGGAAATATAAAGGGTCCTTTCGTGCCCGAAAAGAGTATCATTCCTTTCGAGATAGTAGATCTTACAAGCCTGGTAGAGAATATTCCAGATTTCAACCAGGGAGAGGAGCCCAATCTGGAGGAAGAGGAGGCAAGTCGCGAGGTGCTTTTTCCTCCAAGAACCCTAGGATTTCATGACTTTGCTGCAGAGGGACTTAGATTGGGGGACTGGGCACTCAAATGGCAGATGAAATTTAATGTTGAAAAATGCAAAGTTATGCACTTCGGCGTAAAGAATACACAAGCAACGTATACCCTTAATGGAAGCGAATTAGGGATAACAACACACGAAAAGGACTTGGGAATTGTTATAGACAACAAACTATGCAACAATGTGCAATGTCAATCAGCAGTGGCCAAGGCCAGTAAGGTATTGTCATGCATGAAAAGGGCATTCATTCTCGGGACAAGAATATAATTTTGCCTCTTTATAAATCACTGGTAAGACCCCATATTGAATATGCTGTGCAATTTTGGGCACCTGTTCTAAAGAAGGATATTATGGCACTAGAAAAAGTGCAAAGGCGGGCTACAAAATTAATAAAAGGAATGGAACATATCAGCTATGAAGAAAGGTTAACAAATTTAAACCTATTTAGTTTAGAAAACGTCGCCTGAGAGGGGATATGATAACATTATACAAATATATTCGGGGCCAATACAAACCATTGTGTGGAAATCTATTCACAAACCGGACTTTACATAGGACACGAGGCCATGAGTTTAGACTGGAAGAAAGAAGATTTCGTCTAAGGCAAAGGAAAGGTTTTTTTACTGTAAGAACAATCAGGATGTGGAATTCTCTGCCTGAGGAAGTGGTTTTATCAGAGTCCATACAGATGTTCAAACGGCTATTAGATGCATACTTGCAAGAACAGAATATTCAAGGATATAATCTTTCAATGTAGGGTAATAACTGCTTGATCCAAGGATACATCTGACTGCCATTCTGGGGTCAAGAAGGAATTTGTTTCCTAGTTTGTTGCAAAATTGTGCTTCAAACTGGTTTTTTTTGCCTTCTTTTGGATCAACAGCAAAAAACAAATGTGAGGTAGGCTGAACTTGATGGACGCAAGTCTCTTTTCAGCTATGTAACTATGTAACTATGACTATATAATTCCCAAATCCGAAGGGGTCGGGGCCTGTCTTCTCCAATATTTACACATATGGGAAAAATCCACAAGCGACAGCTGGGTACTGGATATTATTCGGAGAGGATACCTTCTAGAATTCTTCAAGCATCCTCCCAACAGGTCCTTTCATCTCACAAAGTGGCCAGGGGACAAAGAGAAGCGTATGGCTCTACAAAACTTCATTCTATCCTTACAAGCAGAAAAAGTCATCACAATTGTGCCGGCAGACGACAGAAATCAGGGATTCTACTCTCACATCTTCCTAACAAAGAAATCCTCAGGAGGATGGAGACCTATTCTGGATCTACACAGATTAAACAAGCATCTACACATTCGCAGATTCAAGATGGAATCCCTACAGTCTATTATAAAAGTGGTTTTACCCAACCAATGGATGTTATCTATAGACCTGTTAGACGCCTACTTCCACATACCCATTGCCCTATCCCATCAAAGGTTTCTGAGGTTTGCCGTGGAAGAGGGTCATTTCCAGTTCAGAGCACTCCCGTTTGGACTAAGCACAGCCCCAAGGACGTTCACAAAAGTGTTGGTGGTTCTGATTGCAGAACTAAGAAAGCTGAATATCTCTGTCTATCATTATTTGGACGACATCCTGATTATAGGAAACAGCGAAGATTCATTGACCTCCCAAGCTATTACCAGCATTCAGTTTCTGCAAGCCCACGGCTGGAAGATCAACACCAAGAAGAGCCACCTCCACCCAACTCAATCTATGATTTATTTAGGTGCTCACTTCGACACTCTGAGGGGTACTGTCCAACTTTCAATGGAAGAATATTAAAGCTCAGGATACAATTAAGAAAGATGATAAAGTCCAGTATTGTTCCTGCAAAGGTAGTAATGAGCCTCCTCGGATCTATGTCATCCACGATAGGGCTGACCAGATGGGCACAATGGATGAGACCATTTCAAGCCAATTTCCTGAATCTATTCCAACCCATCAAGTTATCCCGGGCCGTACGCCATTCTCTGATCTGGTGGCTGAACAAAGAACACCTTTCCAGGGGGTTTCCACTAGGAGACATCACATGGATAGCAGTGACAACAGATGCCAGCCAATGGGGAAGGGGTGCCCATTGTCTCCACGATTTTGCACAGGAAGAATGGAGTTTCATGACAAAATGTGCATTCCAATCTGCTAGAACTTCTTGCAGTCCTCAAAACACTGAAGCATTTCTTGGTATATCTCAAAGATCAATGGGTAAAGATAAGGACAGACAACACCACCGTGGTATCCTATATCAATCACCAAGGAGGCACCAGGAGTGGCAAGATGATGGCGATTATGAAACAACTGATGGGGTGGGTGCAGAGGAACTTGGCAGGCCTTACAGCCATCCATCTACCAGGGAAACGGAATCAATTGGCAGATTTCCTCAGCAGATCCAGGATAGACCCAGGAGAATGGTGCCTATCAGACAGAGTATTCCGCATGATTGTGGACAAGTGGGGCCTCAAATAGACCTACTAGCTACTCGTGTCAACAGGAAGGTGAAGGATTACTTCACGAAAGAGGAAGACCATCTAGCACTGGGAAGAGACGCCTTATCCAGTCCCTGGAGATTCAAAATAGGGTATGCATTCCCTCCATTTCCACTGATCTTCCCAATCCTGAGGAGGATGAGAACAGAGAGGGTATCTCTCATCCCGATAGCACCCTATTGGCCTTGAAGGCCTTGGTTTCCCCTGCTTCGAAATCTTTCAGTGGAACCTCCTCTCCCACTTCCCAGAACTCCAAAACTTTGCTGAAGGCAACTTTCCCCTTCAGCCACTTATTATAGAGTGTGGGAAGTTTTTTTCCGCCTGGGCTCTTCCTAAAAACATTGATCTGCAGAATCCCTCTTCCAAGGATATTTTGGAGTTCCTACAGTCTGGACTTTCTAAAGGTCTGAGTAATAATACACTAAAAGTACACGTCTCAGATTTGTCCGCCTTAACCAATCATAGATGGGCATTGGACTCAGATGTTATTAGATTCATTAAAGGAGTCCTTAAAATTAAACCTCCAATTAAGCCATTTGTTCCCTCCTGGAATCTCCCTTTGGTTCTGAACGCCTTAGAATTGGAACCCTTTGAAACCCTTGAATCAGTTCCTCTACAGGTTCTGTCTATCAAGACAGCTTTGCTGATCGCCCTAGCTTCCGGCAGGAGAGTTTCGGAACTCCACGCCCTATCCATTAAGGAACCCTTTACGGTCTTTCATAAGGACAGAGTTATCCTCTGTACTGTTCCTGAATTTAGACCTAAAGTCACCTCCGCCTTTCACATTAACGAAGATATTGTTCTCCCATCTCTGAGGCCCGAATGCCAAGAAAGCGAGAATTCAACTGACCTGTCATCTCTGGACCTAGTGAGATGCCTTCGTATCTATATTGAAAGGACTGCTGCTTGACGCATTTCTCAAAGTCTCTTGGTCCTTCATAGTGGTAGAAGAAAAGGATTGCAAGCCCCTAAATCTACCATTAGCAGGTGGATAGTGGCAGCCATTATACGGGCTTATCAATCTTCTGGATATCCGGTCCCTGTCGGTCTTAAAGCCCATTCCACTAGGGCCCTCTCATCTTCCTGGGCAGCAGCGGCTAATGTCTCTCCTGAACTCATTTGTAAGGCAGCCACATGGTCTTCCACCAATACCTCTATTAGAAGTTATCAAATTGATGTCAGAGCAGGTCTATCAGATCAATTTGCTAAATCAGTTCTGTCTGTATCCGATACATGATTCTTTGTTTATCACTTGTTAATGGTGTGAATACACTTTGCATTCAAAATTTTCGAGTCTCTGTCTTCTTCCCTCCCTGGTTTATTGCCTGGGTATTACCCAATGTTGTGCTGCCATGGATATGGCCAGGAAAATAGAAAATGTATTCATACTTACCGTAATTTTCTTTTCCTGGTCATAGGCCATGGCAGCACAAGGGTCCCACACGGGGCTATTGCTGTAAAACATGACTGGGGAAGGAGGGGTAGGAGGTGGTACTTATACGGCTTAATTATTATTCCTGTCCAATGAGGATAGGGAGGAGCTACCCAATGTTGTGCTGCCATGGCCTATGACCAGGAAAAGAAAATTACGGTAAGTATGAATAAATTTTCTATTATATTCAAATATTTACAAAAATATTCAAATATTCAAATATTTACAAAAATTGTGTCATTAACCCCATGCAGAGTATGCAAGGAGAGAGTGATCAAGGTGTGTAAATAAAGATGCAAATGCGGTCTGTGCTAATGGATACTCAGAATAAAAGTTTTTAGACAATTACACCATGATCACTGAATCCTTCACACTAGCAACATACAAGATTAGACTCTTTGTAACTCTGACAGTTTACTGAAATGTATAACTATAGCATGAAAGTATGTTTAACTAATATTTGAACATTGTTGCAGATCGCTATTAAGCAGCAAAACCATTACTTCTGTATCAAGCCGGTGTTCTATCAGTCTGCTATACCCCGTCAGATTGCTATACCCCCGTCACTTCCTGTGAGGGGAATCAGCTGGATCCTGTGTTGCCGGATTTTAGTGTAGTGGTCGGTACGGACCAAAAAAATCCTCAAACTCTTGCCCCTCCTATAGCTCATTATTGGGGTTTGTTTGAATGGAAGTGGTAAGGAATGGTCCTTTTCAAGTTTTTTCCAATTCTCCCGAATGATAGAGACAATTTGGGAAGAATCAGTGTGTAGTGCCTGTGGAAAAATCCACCCGGTGTCGAAGTTCTTTTAGCGATTCTTTTGCCTGTTCCAATGCTTGTGTTGTAGTATTGTATATTTAAACGTGATGCCTTACACTGCCAAATTGTCTTGAAGAAAGTCTGGTGGGACTGAAACGTTGACACTTCTTTTACTGAAAACTTGATGTTATAATAAAAAGCACGATTTGAAACATTGCTGAGTCCTGCGAGTGCACTTAACAAGTTGTTATACATATATAAATATATATATACATACACACCCACACATATATATATATATATATATATACACATTGTTCTCCTATGTCCATGATGTCTGCAGTTTGCCCTCCTGTGGGTTCTTTTGAATAATGGATGGCGGGCAAATCAATTAAGAAAATGGACTTTGCCGAAAGCTGCTCTGTCATTTTTCAGGTTTTCCTTTAAATGAATCCCCTTTTTGTCCCTCTAGTTCTGTTTGGTTTTATATTTTTTAATATCACCTCAGTTTTTGAGTTATACACAAAAAGCAGGGACTTCTTTTTCTCATTACAAGTGTGATCTTTGCATACCTTGGCAACACCGGTGGGAGGGAGGTATAGGGGGTGGAGGCCAATGACGTGATTGCATCATTAACTGTCCCCAAAGGGTGGACCGTCCAGAAAGGGGGCAGGTCAGCTGGGTGTGAACACACACCAAGCCTCCTGTGCATCACTCAGGCCATGCAGGGCCATGAATATAGCGCAAACTCATCTTATGATGAGCTTGTGATATGATTGTAGGGGACAGTTCCCTGGCATCCTCAACAGCAGGACTGAGGGGAACTATGGCAGGATGGTGGGATAGGTCCTGAAAAACGGGACCGTCCTGCTGAAATCGGTACAGTTGGGAGGCAGGTCTTTGGCACATTAATTTGTAATTCAGCTTCTAAGCTAATTTACCCACAATCCATCAGTCATAAGAATCCAACAGAAGGGCAAAGTGCAGACATCATGGACAGAGGAGAACAAAATGGAGGCACCCAATTATTGAAATATAGCACAACGAAGAAATAGTAATAAATATAAATAAAGTCAAGTGGCGGTGGGGGAGTTTTATAATTATTAAGATACATGGGGCATAGGGAAAGGAAAATTGAAAGGACAAAAAAATAAAAAATAAAACATGGACAGTTCTGCTTTAAGTTCTGCTCATTGCAAATAAATTGCCAAAGATAACGCTATTCATGAGAAAAAGTAATCCCTATTTTTTTTCATAGAAAAATTCAAAGTTTAATTAAAAAAAAAACAAACAAAAAAAAACCTTAAAACTTGTACAGAATAAAGTAGGCAAAATGGTAGTTCCTCGTTGTGTGACACCAACGGTTAAGTATGCAGGAGGAGGTGTGATCATCTAGGGCTTGTTTGCGTGATCTAGAGTTGCGATTTGCACAAAGCGAGTGGCACCATGAAACAAAATGACATGTAGACATTGCTCTTCCATGGTCGTTTCATTACCTTTACTGATACAAATGCTGCAGTGTCTTTTCTTATAATTATCAGACAAAGGCGTGTTAAAGGGCAGCCAGCAAAGGTACTTGGTTGATACCCTTACCTACATGTGTTGATGCTACTCAAGATTAATGGGGGTCACACTCATAGATGGACACTATTATTTCAGCCTGTGAGATTTCCAAATTAAAATGGCAGCAAAATCCGCTCAAGAGTTTATAATTCTCACTAATCTCAGGCAGACATGGACATTAATGTGTGATGTCCAATTCTGCACGATGTTAGGGGCTCCATAACTTATGCACTACGCAGAATAATCACACGGATGATGTCACCATCCACGCCCTATAGTAATACTATACTCGAGTCAAAATCTGTATTATGGCATACAGACCAGGACCGCCGGGCTCATTACCGGGCGGTCCTGTTGGGGGCTGGCAGCAAACTATTACTTACCTTTACAGCAGCTCTTGTCAGCTCCCTTCACCTTCGTGCAGCTCCTGTCAGCTCCGTTCTGCTCACAGTGTAAGTCTCGCGACACCCGCGGCCCTCAGAGCGTTTCCACGGGTTACCGTGGCAACGCTCCGCGTGGCACACAGACCACGAGACTTACACTGTGAGCAGAACGGAGCTGACAGGGGAGCTGCACGGAGGTGAAGGGAGCTGACCAGAGCTGCAGGAAAGGTAACAGCTCGCTGCCAGCCACCCCTGCTGAACAGCCAATGCCACTGGACCACCAGGGTTTAACATAGTCCCCCTTCCCTGGCCAGGCAACAAGCAGGGAGGGGGGACAAAAAACAAATATGAAAATATAATAATAATAATATTAAAATAATAATAATATTAAAATATAATAATAACAATAATAATATTAAAATAATAATAAGAATATTAAAATAATATTAAAATAAAAATTAAAAAAAGCCCTCCCCTCACCCAGTTTACACACACTACACAAACACACACACACACTGCATTCACACAAACACACTCTGCATTATATTTACACACACTACATTATATACACACACTACACACAAACATACACTCTGCATTCATTATATACACACACTACACAAACACACACACTGCATTCATTATATCCACACACTGTAAATAAATATTCAATTAATGTAATTTTACTGGGATCTAATTTTATTTAGAAATTTACCAGTAACTGCTGCATTTCCCACCCTAGGCTTATACTCGAGTCAATAAGTTTTCCCAGTTTTTTTGTGGTAAAATTAGGGGCCTCGGCTTATATTCGGGTCGACTTATACTCGAGTATATATGGGTATTTTGTTAAATATCATACAGTTTCCCTGGCCGCGGGAAGAGTTAAAAAAAGTCTGAATCTGGCAATATCGCAGACGTAGAAAAGACAAAACTGCAGCAACTGGCTAGCAAGTCCGCTAACACAGCAAAACCCGATCCAGGGATATCCCACCGGCCTCAAGTAGAGGGCACAGGGACAAACCATTCCTTTAAACAGATCAATGATTTCCTCTCCAGTCCGGATGTGCAATCTCAGCAGTGTATTCTATCAGAATTCAGCAGGCCCCAGCAATCTACAGTGTCTGCTGCTGATGTAGCACGAGGTGTACTCTCACCGAACAGGAGTACGGAAAGACTAGATACAGACCCTGAAACTGCAAATTTGTAAGATTCTACAGCCCTAAAGCTCGTGTTTTAACTCACTGCTGCCACAAAACAGAGCAATTTGTTAAGAACTGCCTGCAAGCAATTGACTTTTTTATGTGACCATCCCAGGTCACAGCATCAAAGAATTTCATTCTATTCTAGCTTTCGGCGACAGAACATGTTCTGCAGCACTTCACAATAAGAAAGTGTGTCTAAGACTTATGACAGCATTTATATAAACTGTGGCAGAGAGGCGATTAATGCACAGAACATAATAAGATGATGAATGGAATCTTTCATATAAATTATAGATGGAAAAGGTTGACTAGGCCCTCTTAGAGAACGAAAATGCAAAAGGCTACTTTTTCTACCGTAGTCAGGCTGACAAGACCCTGTAATTGGAATCTCCTTGCAGCGTCAGCAAATAATAGCCAGCGCAGGTTGCACGTGAATATTTTATCACTCTATGATTTTTTTTTTTTCGCTGCATTGTTGCAAATGTAGGACCTGCCAATCAAAAGAGGAAGGCACGCATTTAACTTGACTCGCAAGGACACGCTCAGTTCACTAGTAAAAAACAATGACAAAGTTATATACAATGCACAAGGAGATCAGAGCATGTGCACACTATTCCGATTATAAATCTTATATATATCATTATTGAGAAAAAAAAATTGTATAAACAGTGAAGTAACATAAGTATAAAAATGCACAGGTAAATACGAATAACCAAAAGTGAATAAATATATAAATACATTTTCCCTTCCCTTTATCCCTCTT